ATAACCGAGCAAATATACAATACATCTTGGGCAAGCGCTAGTTCCAAGGAAGCCAAAGACAGTTAAAAAGCAATAACAAGTAGCAGAAAACAAAAGAGTAATCTAGAAAGCACAAATACACGATAATGCACAGACACGGATAGTAATCCAAACTGATCAAGGGTTTAATTACACGGTTTTGGAACACTTACCACTTCCGAAGCCCTCCTCCTTCTGAGCTTCATGATTAGAGACAGGGCATCTCCCGAAGCAAACCAAAGATTGAGAATTGATCAATACACCGATCGAGAACTGAAGAATCACTTGTGAAATCGAATCAAAATACCACCGGTGAACTGGTCCAGTATTTGGACGGATGGCGATCGATCGCAGACGCAGACGAACGAGAAGAAGAAGAAGGAGGAGAAGAATTAACGATCTTGGAAATAATCCAAGCCTGGAGCGATCCGAAACTAGGGTTTTGAAGAGGATCGCGTATAGAGGGATTTGATAGAGAGAGAGAGAGAAAGACGGTGAGAGAGAGAAGTGGAGAAGAATTCTAAAAAGCTAAGGCGCTTTGTGTTATATACAGAAGCGAAAATCGTTCCAATGCCGGTTTAGCTTTTTTTTTTTTTCCCTTTTTCTTTGATACCCTTTTTTCTTCTTCTAATGTTAATTTGAGTTTCGATTTTCTATATGGTCTGTAACTATATTTTATCATTAGGATTGACGTACAAAAACTATATGTTAATATCTATTGTTTTATGATATATTAGATTAAGTATCCGTAATATGCAGGTTTTTAATTTATTATTTTATAATTCATGAAAACAAAAACTAAAATACCAAGTAATTTCATAAATTATTTCTTAAATCGAGAGCGTGGAGTGAGCGTTGGATCTCCGACATCAGAGCTCGCCCACCAAAAATAACCCCTCTAATTGGACTTCAAGATCCAAGAGTGTTAGTTTACTCTTTTATCCGTCAAGATACGAAGCAATGGGATGAGCCTCTTCTAAGAAAATTTTTCCAACCTAAGGAAGTCTCTCTTATCCCTGGATTGAGACCTAGTAAGAACCGTACCATTGATGGATTTGCGTGGAACAATACTAAATCAGGAATATACACGGTTGAATCTGGATATGATCTGATTAGGAAAACAAAACTTGAACAGAATTTGGATGTCGTGAGTGAACTGAATATCACAGCACTTCAAAACTACGTTTAGAAAGTACGGACGCCTAGAAAAATAAAGCATTTCATGTGGCAAGCTTTATCAAGATGTATCGCTACTTGCCAAAACCTAACCTACAGACATATGAGAACGGATAAGAGTTGCCCCCGCTGTGGGAATCCTGAAGAATCTATTAACCATCTTTTGTTTTTATATCTTCCGGCTTTATAAGTCTGGGCGTTATCGGACTTTCCGTCCCTTCCAGATCTCTTCCCGAGTACCTTTATTTACCAAAATATGAGCTTTCTCTTTTGAAAAACAAAAGAGATAGGCATGACAGATCCTCAAAAAGATTTTTATCTTTGGATCTTGTGGTATATTTGGAAAGCGAGAAATGACAAAATCTCCCTGGTAGATACGTTGAGCCACACTAAGGTTGAAGCTAAAAGTTAAAAGTTTGCAAATCAAACCGGAAGAAGAAGAGGACGGATCAGACGGGACTTTGCTGATCACCCCCTTGCTCCTGAACTCTCTACCCGAGGCCCAGAGGATCCCGATCTGCCAGGTTGATGCATCTTGGATAGGCAACAGCCTGGTTAGCGGGTTCGGTGGAGTCTGAAGGATGGCAGGGGTGGTGAGACTTTTGGCCTTCAGGGCTGTCGTAGAAGCCTATCGGTTCTTCATGCCGAATTGTAGAGCCTTTTATGGGCTATGTCTTACGTAAAAGATAGACAAATTTTATCCGTACACTTTCAGACCGATTGCTCGGATCTGGTAAACATGTCTGAATCTCCATTGGATTGACCATCTTTCTTATCAGAGTTGGAAGCCTTCCGCATACTTCGGGAAAACTTCTTGGATTTCACTCTCTCCTATATCTCCAGAAGTTAAAACGCCCGAGCGGATAGTCTTGCAAAAAGAACGCGAGCAAGAAGCAGTATTTTTTCCCAAATCATTCATACTGAACCAGCTGAGGACGGTTTTCAGACCTATCCCTTAACGGACCAAATGTGATGTATTAGTTGGGTTGTTGAAAAAAAAAATTAGATCATCCAGAAAAATATATAATATTATTTATATTTAAAAAAAAAAATTCTAATAAGATAAATATATAAAATGAAAGAAAATTTAGTAGAAAAAATACAGTTGGTAGTTTTGAATATGCTTATTGGTTTTTATTTTTTTAGTGTGTAACTGACATATCAAATTGTTGTTTATATAGAAGTGGTAAATTAAAAATCTTTTCCTTTTAGTATTAATCTAAGCTTAAGACTATATATGTTATTGCTTTCTTCTTTATATTATATTTTTATTTTTTAGTAACTTTGTTTTTTAAGAATATAAAATCAATTATTAAATTTTTGAAAGTTTTAATTTTTTATTAATTAATTTCATTTTTCCAACTTTAACTTGATGTATCACGGCGAGATAAATCAGCAATTTTGAAACATTCTATTTTATATAATAAAATTTCCATATTCTAAACAAAAATGTAGTTTTCCATTTTCAATAAATTTTTTGGCTTTTATTTATTTGAATAGTTATTTTTGTGTAATTTTTTTTGTTTTAAGAGAAATTGCATCCAATATCCATCAAACAAATTATAATTAATAAACTAAACAAAAAATAATCTGTAACCAATTTCTCTCTAAATTATGTATTAATATCAATTTAACTTTAATCACATATATACCCTCCTTCTCTTTTGAGACAATTACATATAAAAGGCACTTTTTCAAATACATATTACAATATAAGACACTTCTAGCTAGTAGGGTACTTTTCTTATTTTTAATTTTCATACCCAAATAGTCTGAAATTGCCTCTCGTGTTCACGATAACGGTAGAATTGAACTCATGAATACCAAATTATTTTCCCATCTTTTTTGTATTTTCCTATATTGTGAAAGATAGAAAACAATTTTTTGTTAGAATAAATTATAATTTTATTTTCCATTGTTTTAAGACCTATTATACTATAGTTTATTTATCAAACAAAAAACTTTTCAAAAAACATTTACAAAAAAAAAATCAAAAGAAATCACAAGTGAATGATGCATGATGGACATATATATAACATGGACATGATGGCGTAGATTAGTATTAATTGATATATTCGACGTAAATATACATTTTACATTATCCACAATATGGACATGGTTGTATAGATATGTTTTCATTTATATATTCGTATGGATATACACTTTACATTGTCCATAACGTGGACATGACCATGTGGATAGGTTATGGACAATGTAAAATGTATATACATGTTGAATATATTAATGAAAACATATCCACGCAATCATGTCTACATTGTAGATAATGTAAACTATATATTCACGTCGAATATATCAATTAAAACTAATTCACGCTAGTATGTCCATGTTATATACCCATCATGAATCATCCACATCGTATTTTGTGAATGAATATCTAACTATACTTGTAATTTTTTTTTGAATTTTTTATAAATGCTTTTAAAAAAATATAAACAAACTATAGTATATTTTAAAAAAAATATGAGAAAATAAAATTATAATTCATTTTAACAAAAAAAATTATTTTCTATTTTTCATAATACAGAAAAATACAAAATAAAAGAGATGAAAAAAAATAATTATTATTTTTAAAATCTGGACGTAATCCGGTATCCACAAGTTCGCCTTCACCTTTATCGTCAACACGAAAAGCAATTTTGGATTATTTTGGTGTAAAAAAAAAAAAAATACTATAATAGTTAGAAGTGCCATTTTGTAAAAATAAGTAGAAAAAGTGTCGTTGAGTGTAAACCACTCTTCTCTTTTATCTCTTTTGTTCTATTTATTTTTCCCTTACACAGATACGGTGTAAATTACCATGGCGGTGCAAGGTTCCAACAAAACTCAATTGGATCCTATGATAATAAAATTGGATTGTCACCACCTCCACCGTTTTCTCGGATCTTAATTGTTAAGGAAGAGAAAATAACGAAGACGTAAACGAATTTGGTATAAGCGTCGTTAGTTTTATCCGATCAGTTGTTCTCTTTTCTTGCCACGGCTGCTTAGCATCTGGCCGTTCCATTGCATTTTGTCAAGTTTTCTCACACTATATAATCAATTTGTCTAGCAGATCCTTCCTCCCCTAAACCCAAGGTCCCGATCAAGCCAATTCCTTTTGTATATATGAGGCTTCACTTTCGAACTATTTTCTTCTTATTCATTAAATTCATTAATCTTCCTCCCGTGAAAATCTATCATCTACTTCATCTTCCTCCTCTTCTTATAATCCCTAGCCTAGCTCGTTTACGGCCTCACTCGTTTTCTCCTGATTCCTCCCGTCGACAAACATGTTAACCCTTTCACCCAAGAATGAAGCTTGAAAAGAACGAAACATCTCTAAATTGCATCTTTAACTATGGAACCTTTGTTATGCGTTTGGTGATTTTTAAATTGTTAAATCTTAAAATATAGATCTAGATATTGAATTGAGTTGAATTATAAGCATTGTTAGTTCTTCAAGAAACAAATTAAGAATATTTTGTGTATAGAATTTCTATTTTTATGTATATAAAGTTTATTTTGGTGTATAGAACATCGTTGATGGTAAGCTATGTATCACGTTATTAAATCAATATTTTTTGTTTTGTTGATTTTTGAGGATTTTGTGTATTGGCACATTGAAAAAGAATATATTGGTATGTTGTAAATGATGATTTAATATATGGATGGACAAAATGCTCAAAAACATATGTATTATTATATTTTTTTTCGTCGTATGGAAAATTTATATATGGACCGGAATTAAACCAGTGTCTCATTCATTGAAAACCAAGTAAACCATGGTTGTTTCCATTGCAGATGGGTGTAAAATATGGTTATGCCCGGTAGAAGATGTAATAACCGGTTTAGCGATTCAATGCCATGGATGGAAATTAGCGTACCTGAACCCAAAAAAGAAAGCTTTTTGTCGGGGTAGCGCCGACAAATTTGCATCAAATGCTTGTGCAGCAGAGTCAGAGGGAGACTTTCAGGTTCTGCTTTCAGAGTATAGTCCGGTTTGGTATGGCCACGGAAAGATTGGTTTGGGACTGATACTTGGTTACTGTTGCTTTTGCCTTTGGGCACCAAGTTCAGTACCTGTGCTTGTTTACTCTGTTTTGACCTCTCTCTGTCTACTCAAAGGCATTCCTCTGTTTCCAAAGGTAAAGAAAGGGCTTTCCCTCTGTTTCTTTATGTGTTTGTCATAAACCCGGAATCTCATTCAGGTAAAACTGATCTGGTCTTTGAATCCAGGTCTCAAGCTCGTGGTTTTTCCCATTTGGATACGTGACTGTCGCAGTTAATTCCTATAGCCTAGCCGAGTTCTTGTGGTGCGGAGGAACGTTCCGTGGATGGTGGAACGAGCAAAGGATGTGGCTTTATAGAAGAACAAGCTCGTTTGTATTCGGATTCACGGACACGATTCTGAAGAAACTTGGGGCTTCGGAGTCTGCATTTGTAATCACGGCGAAAGTAGCAGAGGAAGAAGCAGCAGAGAGATACGAGAAAGAGGTAATGGAGTTTGGAGTGGAGTCTCCGATGTTTCTCCTCCTCGGAACACTCGGGATGCTCAATCTCTTCTGCTTCGCTGCAGCGGCTATGAGACTGATCACTTCAAGAGACGGTGAACATTTTCAGACAATGGGCATGCAGATTGTGATAACAGGAGTACTTGTGGTACTAAACTGGCCTCTGTATCAAGGCATGTTGTTGAGGAACGACAAAGGGAAAATGCCAGTGACCGTGACAGTTAAATCAGTTGTCTTAGCTTTATCCGCCTGCACTTGTATCGCGTTTATGTAATGGAAAGAGAGAGCCGGTGTATTCAAACTCAAAAGAAAGGCCAGCAATTATTTCAAAGATTTTTGCTTTACAAAATCTAAAGAGAAACATAAACCCTAATGGTCTAATACTAACATATATGGACATATAAAAATAGCCTCTTGAGTTTTGTATTCATTCTGCAGACTTTCTCGAAAGCTCTTCTCCTTATCCTGCCAGAAAATCTTCGGTCTCTGCCACGGAACCAATGAAAACTTGAGATTTGTGTGGCAAACAAACCAGCACTTTATGGTCAATCTTTTTTTCTTTGGGTATCAAACAAGTATGGAAGCTTACTTACATGTACAGGGGAGCCGAAAGAATGAAGGATTGAAGGGGGTTTTCACTGGTTCTGAAGGTGTGACGGTTTCGAGAAGCGTAGCTCAAGCAAACCCGAAACCTTCACTGGCTTCGTGAATGGCAAGTAGCAGGCGTTCCTGAAGCTGTTCCTTGGATGGATACTCAGGGAGGTCTAGTTGGTTGAAACTGCAACAGAACAAAACAGACGTAACCAATGAGAATCAAGGCGAGATTGAACCGTTTTGTATTAAGGAAAGGCTTTGTATTGATTTCGAACCATGTATGGGCTGATGGCAGCCGCTCCGGAGCTCCATACGCTTTGTGGATTTGTAATCTTTGAGGGCCAGATATACCTTGCAGAGCCTTGAAACCTTCCAAAGGAACCTGTAAAAAAAAACAGACCCAATCACTTCGTAAAACAAAAGATGATTTCCCTCTTTTGCGATTATCTATCGTTACACAAGAGCGAGGCAGGAGGAGATCGAGATCATCCACCAGCAGAAAGAAGCCAAATACGGATATATCAGGAAATGCATTTCAAGTGACTTGGACGGAAGCGGTGCTACTATTTGGTTTACCTTTGATGTTCCGGTGACAAATTGAAGAAATCTAGCCATGTCTTCTTTGCTAAAAGCTTTAACGACCTCCCAGAACCAATGAATAACAGGAGATCCTGCCGTGTAGCTGGTATACTCGGTATTGGCTTTAAGATCATCAACTAAACAACGAAATAACATGAGACTGTTAAAATAACCTGATGCATAAGCAAATACATGCAACAATATTGAACAACAGGATCCAACTTACAATCAATCTCAGGCAATCCACTGATTAGGAGCTCGAGCTCTTTGTCGTTGAAAATGGATACGAGCTCACGAGGTATCAACTCATTAAAGCCCTCGAGGAAGGCGTTGATTTGAGGCCGAATAGCATTGGTAAGTATGTGGCCGGCTACAAGGTCAACATATTCATGTTTTGTTTCTTCTGTTACTCGTATGTTTCGTCCTCCAGGTTTAAGCTCATAGTCCGTCACCTTTTCGGTAAAGGTATAACATGATCAAATTCAATATGGTATACCCTTTGGGGTAATGAAGAGAAAAACAAACATTTAATAATATCACAGACCTCGGTCTTTTCGTAAAGAATGTGTTTTTCCTCGTCTGCGTCCATACTAAATGTGAGGTCGAGTATGTCGCTCACATCATTCTGTAAAGAAAAAAAAAAGGTTCAAAGATAAGTCTCTAAAAGGCAGGACTCTGTAAACATCGATTTTTAAGCTTTTATAAGGTAAAAGGTAAATTAAGACTAAGTCCACAAACCTCCAACAGCCACTTCAAATTCTTATAGTAATCAGGATCCACCGCCTCAATGTCATGATAGGTCACCTTCACACCAAGGATATGTTTATAGAAGGAACGAGTGAAATAAACATCCAAAAGCTGCCCATCAAACAATGCCTTCGCCACCTGCAGCAGTGACATCACAAACACATCAGATAGGCTCAAAAATAAACAATAGGATCATTACAATCACAAGGTCCTGACTATTACCATCCGGCCAACAAACTTAAAGTATGACAGATGCTCAGTTTGGTAAACAGAATTCGGATTCGGCTGGAAGGTGGCATCATTTCCAACGGTAGTGAACAGCAACGCTCCTTTGTCAAATATAACTCTTGACAACAACTGATACCATTCTCTTGTAAGACCACCAGCATCAATACCTTCCTCACCTTGAAACTGCACATTCAGACGTCCTTTCAGATCCTGTGGGGAGCGCATACGCAACTGGTTGTATGAATCTTCCAACACATAAGCTCGGCGGACACTAATACGCAATGGCCCAGAAATGTGATGATCATGCTGGTGCCTTATCCTTGACCTGAAGTAAGCTTTCTTATTGTCAAAATCAATCAACCTTGGTGCCTTGAGCATCATTGAAAGGGACTTCTCCAGCAAACTCGGATTTTGCCTAACAAATGAATTCAAAAGTCGCCTATGCTTCTCCGCAAACTTTGCAAATGTAACGGAGCCATCAGTTTTTTTCTGAGAAACTACACTGGTTTTAGATGATGAACTATGAGCAGACTCCTTTACTTCTCCTGCTGTCACATTCGCATGATCCTGCTGTAATATTGACGGAGTTTGAATTTTCTCACAGAGAACAAAGAAAGCCTCAATAAGAGGTAGGAGCCTCTGAGTTCCTGGAGAAAGATAGGACGGAGGAGTGACCCCTAGGACATGATCTCCGGGGTTTACGTTTGACACGGTTGTTGTAGCTGCAGTATGATCCAGCTGCAACTCAGTCATGCTGATACACTGGCTAAGTTCTTGCCACAGGGGCTCTAATGCCACGTTTAGTCTCTGCATGATGTTTTGTTCCTCGTGTTCTGTTTCCCTTTCGGTTCCCGCATTGCTATCATCAATATGGGAAGTTAGTGAGCTAAGCACCTGTAGAACACGGAGAATTGAAGCACCTGCCATGGAACCTGCACTGTGGCTCATCTTCTGTGAATTGCTCAGTTTTGCCAGCTCACGGACAGTTGAGGCACTCAAACCACTTGCCAATTCTGAGAGTTCTTTCGCGAAAAACTTGCGATGAGCCACATCTACAGCTGCCAGCTTTTTTAGTACCTCTCCTGCTAACGAGTATATTTTATCCGATAACCTATTAAAATATTAAAACATGCGAATCAGTCCAAGCAATTCAGAGATATCATTGACAACAAAGATAAGAAACGACCTATGTTTTGTACATTACTAAATGTAAGAGGAAAGAGGAATCTCAGGAAAGCAATGAACAAAAACGATAGGAGGCTATCTCTTACCCTTCATATCCAAGAAGAATGCAAAGATTGCAGAGATCGGACTGTGGCAACTGCAAGAATATGTTGTATATGTCAGCACAATTCTTCCTTCTTGCAACAGATAGCTCAGCTTCATCCAGTAGCTTAGATTCATCTTTTCGTGTTTCACTTGAAGCTTCTTCACCAACGGGCTTATTTTCAGACTTCTCAGGTACTCCTGATGACGGAGACCATCCCTCAATTCGGGATGCTGCTGTGTAGACAACTACTTGTAGTAAACCCATGACCTGAAACAAACAGAACACGGATCTTGTGGATATACAGATAAAATAACAACCAAAACAACTATCTGAAGATTGTAGCGAGAAGATTCCTACTTTTATGATGAAAATCGAGCTAAACATAGTAACATACCAGCGCAAGATGAGATGTACTTTGCAAAAGCTGAGGCCGATTAAGCAGTTTAAAAAAGACAACCACAGGTATCTCCAGATTCCGGGAGTCTGTCACTTGAGTAACTTTCTCCTTACCCTTGCCTTCACAAACAGAGGGTTTCGGGCATGGAAATTGGGACAGAAGTGACGAATCAAAGTAAAACAACATGTCAGCAACAGCCGAATGATTCGTAGCCAAGTACGTCAAAACCTCAAGCACCCGCCGGAACACTAGAGGAGGAAGCCCTGTGTTAGGAACAAAGAAAGTCAGTCATAAAGTACTATGGAAGCTGGCGAGAATAGCGAACAACGAATTTCGAGAGGAAGTACTACCATTCAACAGCTGGGATCGTCCATAAACCACATTTGATTGACAGCCATAGAGTCTTTGCGGATTAGTTACTGCCAACTCGCTCGGTGATGTTTCCATCTCTGGCCTAATCAAATCCAGCATAAGTTGAACCAAATTTGCCCTTGTAGCACTGTGAGCACATAGATTTAATAGAAGCCTCTGCAGAAGGCCTTTTCCCAACGGCTGATACATTAAAACAACTTCATTGTAAGACGCGACAAACAATTACTTAAGATACTTCCGTAAGAATAGTCAATTAGGCGTTGCGAAATGAGGCCCAAAATCATAGATTATTTCTTGTTAGAAGAGGGTAGGAAAAAAAGAGGAATGCCTCTTACCTGTGCTAGTCGTAGTAGCCTAATTAGTGATTTCAAGGCATCAGCATCAACAAGAGGGTCTCCTTCGATCTCTTTCATTTTCAAGCCATCTGCAGAAGATGAAACACCCCTCTGACCAATACTGACTCCAACACCCCTGTCCATCCCCGTCATCCTATTGAAACCCAAACCATTCCTTCGATTATTCAGCCTATGACTACTCCCAAAAAGACTACGAGCCTGATAGTGACTCATTGCTCGGTCTCTGAGCATCTGCGCTTCCGCAATCAAAGGTGAAGGCAAAGCTGCCAAAACTGCTTCTGAAGAAGTTAAGAGAACCTGAAAGTAGCATATTTCAGAATATTATCAACATTTCCGAATCTAAATTAACTTAGCTCAAATAAAGGTAGAGATACAAACCTCTTCACGTAAATCAGCAGGTAGAGTAGCAATAATTGAAGCGTTATCCATGTCAACTGGCTGTCCTTGTGACTGCTGTGCCATCCTCTGTGCCCTTTGTTGAGCAAGAACTTCTGTCTGGATATCTGGGGGAAGAGCTGCCAAAAATTCAGGATCTATGTCGTCTACTGGAGGTGGTTCATAAGTTGGAGGCTGAACGGACTGAGCTTGCTGAGAAGCAAGGACTTCTGCCCGCAAATCTTCAGGGAGCGCCTCCAAAAATGTAGGATCAATGGAATTCGCTTCTGGTGCCCCACCGTCCAAGCTACCTTCAGTAACTTGTTCATCATTCCTTGCATCTTGTGTAGCTTCCATGGATGAGAAGTCATTGTTATCACGGGCCAATAGTGAAGGTGCCACACTGTG